GAAGGGAAGGGAAGGGAAGGGAAGGGAAGGGAAGGGAAGGGAAGGGAAGGGAAGGGAAGGGAAGGGAAGGGAAGGGAAGGGAAGGGAAGGGAAGGGAAGGGAAGGGAAGGAAGATCTCCTGCTGCATTGGGGTTCTTGCTGGGGTCTGGGTTGGAGCACGAGGCACAGAATGGGGCACAGTAGATTGTGTTTCTGCTGAAGAGACTAAAGATTTCTGACCAGCCTGAGTGTGTAAAATTGTAATCCTGATCAAGGAGCCAGATCCTTGATGCTGAGACTTGGAGGCTAGGAAAGAGGAAGGGGGTAGAGCCAGGGCCAGGAGGGCGGGGGGGGAGGGGGGGGGGGGGGGGCGGCCGGGGGGAGGGAAGCAGGGAGCAGACCAGGAGACAGTCCCCCTACCTTTCGTAGCACACAGCACACCTCCATATAGCTCGGGATTCTCCCTCCTGGTCAGTCAGAGACATCTCTGTCACTACTCTTTTCTTCTGCCTCTCTCCAAGGGCTGGGAAGTGATGGTAGTGAGCCTAGAGCCACATGTTTTACTGTCCTAATGGGGCATGGGGTCCCGGGGCCGCTGGGACTGTTGGACACTTATGGACACTTATGGCCCTCCATAGGGACACAGGAACCCAGCTCTGCCTCATGCAGTCCTATAGATATGAGAAGGAGGGAGGGAGGGAGGGAGGGAAGGAAAGAAGGAAGGAAGGAAGGAAGGAAGGAAGGAAGGAAGGAAGGAAGGAAACTGTGGCATCTCTTGGGCATCTTGTTGGTGTGGTAGATGAACATCAGCAGGAACTGGCTTTTATTACAACACAGTGTATTAGTTTATTGTGTTTGGGGTGCAAATATTCGTTCTCCTTTTGATTCTTCAATTTTCATGTATGCGTTCTGATGTCTGAACAACGATTTTGTTGTTACCATTCCTCGGAGCTCACTCACGATACAGTCTGCTCACGGTTCCTTGCTGACAGTTGCCTCTATCACCGTTTAAGCGCGCCGTTCCCACCCCCGGCCGTTCTCTTCCGTGTTCCTTCTGATCTTTCCTCGACGGCCCCTCCGCCGCCGCATTTCGGAACACCGAGACCTCAGCGGCGAGCTGCCGTCGGGGCTTCGGGCATCGGAGCGGAGCCGCCCGCCCCGGCTGCTGCATGGAGGACGAGGCGGGGGGCGCGGGGCCGCACGGAGGGTTGGGGGGGGATCCGGGAAAGCCAAAGGGAAAGCCGGCCCGGCCCCAGACAGAGGCGGATCAAGAGGCGGTGTTTCATTTTTAACTTTATTTGGAAATCTCATCCAGAAACACTGGTCAATAATAAATATATCGATAGTTATCAAGAATATATAAAAAATAAAGACACTGGGTTGTCTTTGAGGCCCTACCCAAAACCAAACGAACGATCGAACAGAATTAATGATAATAGCAATTCAAGCGAACGCGTGGGGAAGGGCTCCGGGAAGGGGAAGGACAGCACCGGCGGCTCCGAGCCACTGCCGGGGGAGCGGCCCGGCCGCGCCGGCCCCGCATGCAAACCAGAACCGGAGCGGAACAAACGAAACAACGAAACAACCGCAAAACGAAACGGAACGGTTCTCCGAGAGGAGAACCGAGCGCCGAGGGGTTTCAGGGAGTGGGAGGCGAGGAGTTGGCAAAACGGGCCCGGAGGGGCCGCGCTTTGCACCGTTTCCCTCCTTATTTTGTTGGTTTGTTGTTGTTGTTGTTTTATAAGAGGACGCGGAGGGAGGAAGAAAGGAACCGCCAATAGAACCGCACCGCAACCAACACCGAAAGGAACTCCCGCAGCGCCCGAGGCGGTCCCGCCCGGGGAGATCCGCGCTGCGCCCCGCGGAGCTGAGCCCGAAGCCGGGGCGAGGCGGGAGGGAGGCTACGGGACGCCGCCGTTCGACGGAACAGTGAGAAAACCCCGCAAAAGGAGGAGAACCCCAAACCGATCCCATCGTCTGTGAACAGCTGGGAGCACTGCAGTGACAACCATGTCTTTTTTTTTTTTTTTCTTTTCCCATCCATTTTAAGGAATTATTTACATTTCCTCCCCACCGCTATTACTCTTTTTTACCGCGGGGATCGCACCTCTCCCGGCTCAGAGCGGGCGGCAGCGTCCCCTCGGCAGGGTCCTTCCCTCCCCGGCGGCGGGGGGCAGGGCCGGGGCGGCTCACTTCAGCAGGTCCTTGGTGTCCGCCGAGATCCGGCCCATGCCGGAGGCGGAGAGGGCAGAGAGGTGAGGCGGGGGGGGGCACCTGGCAGATGGTGCAGGGGCACGGCAAGCCGGCCCAGTGCTGGAAGCCGCCGCCGAGCTGCAGCGCGGGGGGAGTGGAGGGGGTCTTCAGCAGGGAGTGGGGCGGCCGGATGGTGCCCAGGGCCGGCAGCGAGGCTGGCAGCGACGGGGACGCGTTGGCGGAGGAGAGGGCCCCGCCGAGGATGGGGTGCACCTGGTGCACGGCTCCGGCTGCGTGGGGCGGGTGCGCCGCGGCGGAGTGGCCCACGGTGCCGCAGTGGAAGGCCGAGTGGTGGCCACCGTAGATCTCCCCCACCAGGCGTTTCATCTCCTCCAGGGAGCTTGTGAGCATCAGGATGTAGTTTCTGGCCAGCAGCAGGGTGGCGATTTTGGAGAGTTTCCGGACGGAGGGGCCGTGCGCGTAGGGCATCACCTCCCGCAGCCCATCCATGGCCAGATTGAGGTCGTGCATCCGCTTGCGCTCCCGCCCGTTGATCTTGAGCCGCAGCTGCTGCAGGTCCTGCTCCGAGAGTTGCTTCTTGATCTTGTACTTGCCGCCCTCCCCCTGCGCCTTGGGGCCGCCCCGGGCCAGTCCCTCCCCGGCCATCTTCTGCACCAGGTCGCCCTGCGTGGAAGAGACGGGGTTGAGGCGGCTCTCCGGGTGGTGGTGGTGGTGGTGGTGGCGGTGCTCCCGCAGGTACATCTCGTCCATGTCCGGCGAGGAGGCTCTGCTGGAGACGGAGCTGGAGTCAGAATTCATTGTACTCGAGCGCCGGAGCGAGACACCTTGCCTGATCGGGAGGCGGCGGAACGGGGCGGCTCCTCTGGGGGGCACCGAGGGATGGACGGGTCGGACGGCGCCGGGCGGGCGGGCGGCAGCTCGAGGCGGCAGCGGGGGAAAGAGCCCTCTGCCCCGCGGCAGCGCTGCCCCGCGCCCCGCTCTCAGGGACGGCGGTGGGTGTGTGCCGGGACTGACCTCCGCCTGCTTACGAGGGGCTTTTATAGGGCTGCGGCGGAGAGCGGAGACAAAAGGAGCCCTCCTATGTATAGCGGTGTAGTTGGGATGACGTGCCGTTATTCAGGGCGGTGCGCTTTGACTGTCCCATTTAGCGAGGACCCCCATTCATATTCATGGCGGTGCCACCCGGGACACCTCAGCCACGGACCGTCAGGAGCCGAGGAGACACAAAACCCCTCTGATTGACACCGCACACCCGGCGCTCCGCGTGCCCGCCACCTCCTCCCCCTGCCCTTCATTTCCAATATAACAAGGCACCCCGTTCGCTGCGAGGAGCCAGGGCCGCGGGGACTGCCCGCCCGTCGGGGCCGCCCGGCCCTCCCCTCCCAGCTCGGCCCCTCGTTCAGGGTCTGTCGTGCGGCACCGGCTGCACAGCGTCCGCCCGGGGAAGCGACCGCGGTGATCCCGAGCCGCTGCTCCCGGCCCCGACGAGCCGAGAGCGTGAGGTCGGCACCACTCGCAGGGAGCCGCCGGGTGCGCTTCCACCCGCGAGCGTGGGCATGGGAGAGAGTTCCCGGCGGGACAGCGGGATGGTAAAGGGGTGTGGGGAGATGAGAGAGGGAGGAGTGGGGAACTGTCATCCGCCGAGTCGGACCGTGCTTCGTCTGCTGAGGGAAATTAAAGCCTTCTCATTGTCGGCACTGAGAGAGAATCCCACAGGGAAGGGAAGAGAAAAGAAGAAAAGGAAAAGGGAAAAAGGAAAAGAGAAAGAAAAAGAGAAAGAAAATGAGAGGGAAAAAGAAAAAGAAGAAAAAGAGAAAGAAGAAGAGAAAGAGAAAGAAAAAGAAAAAGAAAAAGAAAAAGAGAAAGAAGAAGAAAAAGAGAAAGAAAAAGAGAAAGAAAAAGAGAAAGAA